GGACAAATTTATAGAAAACTACAACTTTCTAACATGTAACTTTCTAACATGTAGAAAAAAAAAAACTATTTGAACAGTGTTATAATGTATAAAGAGCTGAATCTGTACTTTAAAATCTCACATAAAGAAAACCCCAGGTTCAGATGGCTTTACCAATGGATTTTACTAAAGAAGAAATAATGCCAGTAGAACAAAAAACCTTCTAGTTATGTGGTGAGCATAAGCTTGATGTCAAAATTTGAAAAAGACAGTAAGAGAACAGGCCAACTTCACTAATGCAGAATTCCTGAAGAACACACTACAAAACGACAGTATACCAAGATCAAGGTGAGTTCATTTCTCAGGAATGCACAATTAATTTGAAAACCACAATGTAATTTGTAAATAAACTAATGCAACAGAACAGACAACAAAACAGGACAGAAGAGCAGGAAAGAAAAAAATGTTAAGTCAGGGCGCCTGGGTGGCTCAGTCGTTAAGCGTCTGCCTTCGGCTCAGGTCATGGTCCCAGGGTCCTGGGATCGAGTCCCGCATCGGACTCCCTGCTCAGCAGAAGCCTGCTTCTTCCTCTCCCACTCCCCCTGCTTGTGTTCCCCCTCTCGCTGTGTCTCTGTCAAATAAATAAATAAAATCTTAAAAAAAAAAAAGAAAGAAAAGAAAAAATGTTAAGTCAGTAAATGGCACTTGTACAACTTGTTGTCTATATTAGGGAAAACATTCTATAAGCAGAGTTAGGGGTCCCCAGAAAAAGAAAGACCCAGACATTTCAGGTCCCCAGCTATCCCCTCCCACCAGTCCCCCACCCCCTGGATCTATCATGCCTTACCAACTCTACCTGCCCAAGCACACTTCTTGCAGGACTGCCTAGGGGGTGTTCGAATTACAAAGAAATGAAAAAAAAAAAAAAAAAAAAACCCACAGTAGTTAAGAATTTTAAGGGAACAGAGAATGCAAAAACTAAGTCTCCAATAGGCCAGTAGATAGCCTAACCATATCAGAGACAAAAAAATCAATGGTAAAACTCCCAGTGCTGTTTCAAAAGTAAAGACTGACTTAGCACATTCTTTTTTTTTTTTTTTTAAGATTTTATTTATTTATTTGAGAGAGAGAATGAGAGACAGAGAGCATGAGAGGGAGGAGGGTCAGAGGGAGAAGCAGACTCCCCGCCGAGCAGGGAGCCCGATGCGGGACTCGATCCCGGGACTCCAGGATCGTGACCTGAGCCGAAGGCAGTCGCTTAACCAACTGAGCCACCCAGGTGCCCAGACTTAGCACATTCTTGAGTTGTCTTCGCAGGATTGAAACTAGCAGAAAATTTAAAGCTTGTTTTTCAGAGAACTGTTTCTCTGTAGCCAGCTACTGTTTCTTTTCAGACCCCACTAAGAAATATACTGGCTCTGGGTCAACTGATAAGGTCCCAGCCATGAACAAACAAGGCCCTGCAGACCTTACCTGAGGTAACCAGCCCAAGATCCCATCCAGTTTATACTGGCTCTTGGATCATATCCATAGCCCCTTCCCTTTGTCCAACACTTAATCTGCTTCAGTACAATGTTAAAGTCTCTACCCTGGGAGGAGCACAGGCTTCATAAAACACTTCATCTGCACAACCTTATTCCCGCCTTTATGTGTGATGACAAAACTCCCCTTTCTGAATATTCATCCTAATCTTAAATAAAAAGAACTCTCTCATCCCTGTCTGGGTAGTCACGATTTGGAAGTTATTCCCATGATCTCATTTGCTGCAAATAAAATTTCCTTTGAGTGACAACTCCACCTGCTGCAATTTCTTATGGATTATCTGCTGTAATCTCTATCTGCAACTCACCAAGGAGCAAACGAACTCATATTAGTTCAGTTACAGCTAGTGTGGGTTTTTTTTTTTTTTCAAACCACCAAGGAATTAACTCAATTCTGACACTACCTACCTAGAGATAGAGTCAGATCCCACAGGTTAAGGGCTCAGTCATCCAAGACAGCCCCCGTCCCCACTTCACACACCAATTGCAAATCCAGGATGTCACCTGCACTTCTCACTGGCTATGGACTGGAGGTTCCAACAACTGCTCCCTGAACAGCTCACAGAATTGAAACACTTTACTTATAAAAGGCTAGATGGAAGAGACACACAGGCAAGGTATAGGGAAAGGCTGTGGGGATTCCATGCCCTCTTTAAGAGGGCTATTCTCCCAGCACCTCTACAAGTTCCCCAGTCAGGAATCTGTCTGAACCTTATCTTTTTGGGTTTTTATGGAGGCTTCATTACATGGGGATGATTAAGTCCTTGCCATTGGCAATCGATTCAACCTCTAGCCCAACTCCCCTCCCTGGAAGTCAAGGGGTGGGACTGCAAGTTCCAACCCTGTCTCACAAGGCTGGTTCTCCTAGCAACCAGCCCCCATCTTTAGGTTACCCAGGGGCATTCCATAAATTCATCAACATAACAAAAGACACCTTGCTTGCTCTCATCACTTAGGAAATTCCAGGGGTTTTAGCTCAATGCCAGAAAATAGGGCAAAGACCAAATACGTATTTCTTATAAATCAGAACATCACAATTCCTCATACTATATACAAAAAAATCAATTCCATTTGGGTTTTATATTTGCAGACCTGAGTATAAAAGGCAAAACAAAAATTTTAGCAATCATATAGAAAAATATTTATATTTTGGCGTAAGAAAAACTTCTTAAAAGGACTAAAAGAAAAAGTAACTATAAAGTAAAAAAGGAATAAAATAGACTACACTAAATTTGTTCATCAAAAGACCCCATTAAGATGACTAAAAAGTTATAATCTGCCATGTATAAAGAAATCTAACAAAACAATAAGAAAAAGACCAACAACCCACAGAAAAAAATGGGCAACCGAGACCTGAAACATCACAACAGAGGACACATAAAAAAAGGAAATATAAGTGGCCAACAGACATAGAAGAAGTGATCAACCTCAATACTCACTCCTCCAAAGTAGTAAGGGGATTAGCCCCCAGTCTATCTGCCTATCAGAAAAAAGGATAAACCCTTTCAGGAGGAAAACAATACCACCTAGAATCTCTACAAGTATTTACAAACAATACCCAATATTTAATTTAAAAAATTACAAGGTCGGGGCACCTGGGTGGCTCAGTCAGTTAAGCGTCTGCCTTTGGCTCAGGTCATGATCTCAGAGTCCCAGGACTGAGCCTCATGTCAGGCTCCCTGCTCAGCGGGGAGTCTGTTTCTCTGTCTCCCTTTGCCCCTCTCCTGGCTCATACTCTCTCTCTCTCTCTCAAATAAATAAATAAAATCTTAAAAAAATAAAAAATTACAAGGTGTGTTCAAAGACAGAACATTTACCCACAAAACCAACAAGAGAAAAAAATTAGACAATAAAAGCAGATCTATAGTTGGTGTATGTAGGGTGTATGTAAAGTAACATATATATTCAAGATACTAAAAGAAAAAGTAAATAAAAACATGACTTCATGGAAGATTATATATATTATACATTCTTTTTAAATTTAATATTTACCCTCTTACTGTCTTTAAGACTAGTTGGAGTTGGTGTTTCTCTTAAACTATAAAATTAACTGAGAAAACTGAATAGGAGGGCACCTGGGTGGCTCAGTCGTTAAGCATATGCCTTCGGCTCAGGTCATGATCCCAGAGTCCTGGGATTGAGCCCCGCATTGGGCTCCCTGCTCAGCGGGAAGCCTGCTTCTCCCTCTCCCACTCCCCCTGTTTGTGTTCCTTCTCTCGCTGTTGTCTCTCTCTGTTAAATAAATAAAATCTTAAAAAAAAAAAAAAAACTGAATAGGTCCCTTTAATACTCTTTACTTTCCTACCAATAATTATTAATATAATATTATACTTCATTATATATATAATATATTTATAATTATATATATTTATATAATTCGTATATTATATATATTTAATATAACATGTATTTCATTATATAGTATATATTTCATTATATAATATATATTTCATTAACAGATCTCAATAATATTGGTAGAAAATTTATATGTATAAATATTATATATATGTATATAAGAAATTATATATACGGGGGCGCCTGGGTGGCTCAGTCGTTAAGCGTCTGCCTTTGGCTCAGGTCATGATCCCGGGGTCCTGAGATGGAGCCCCGCATCAGGCTCCTTGCTCAGCAGGAAGCCTGCTTCTCCTTCTCCCACTCCCCCTGCTTGTGTTCCCTCTCTCGCTGTGTCTCTCTCTGTCAAATAAATAAATAAAAAATCTTAAAAAAAAAAAAGAAATTATATATATGTATATATGTTTTATATATAAATAAAACTTGGGAAAAAACTCAAATATCAGTGTGGCCACAAACAAAAACTACATACTTCTGAATGAATTAATCAGTTACTTAACTAGAGTTCTTATGTAACACTTGGCCTAAATTTGTTAGTAACTATAATCAAAGAGAGTGAAAATCCTAGCACTACCTCTAAATAGCCATGTAACCACAGGTTAGTTACTGAAGCTATCTGAACCTCAGTTTCCTCACTTGTAAAATAAATTTTACATATATTTAGATATAGGTATATAGCTTTATATACAATATATAAATATATATTATATACCTAAAAAGATAAGTATCATTATTTGTAATGAAAAATAATTTTCCTTTCCTTCAGTATATCAGTAGACTTTATATATCAATATAATTTATAAAATTACTGGTATTAATATGAAATAGCTAATTTATAATTGGAGTAATATAATGGGAGTGAAATTGTCCAACATTCTTCTGAGAAATGCAGTATTGCATTTCTGAGAATGCAGTATTGCAAATTTTCTAGGAATAGGATAACTAAATTCTTTACATTTCATGATTCACTTCCATATGATCATTCATGTTGTCTTAAAGAATAAGAAAATCATACAACCCCTTGAAAAATTAGACAAAACTCAGACTGCTTAGTACATCAAGTATACATACCTAAACCGGAACAATCGTATACACAGACACATGTCAAACTCCAATTACAGTCCTTACCTTAATTTTCACAGCATCATAGCGGATTTGTGAAAATTCACGAAGACCAAAAGAGCCTCCAACAATCAGCAACTGAAACAAAGAGAGGAAACAAACAACATAGACGGGCAGAATTCTGTCTACAGATTAATGCCAATAGTGGCAGCTTATATGAAATCCAATATATTATTTTCTTGGTGAGTTACCATTCATCTGTTCAGAGTGGATGCAGTATGTACTGTCACTAGGAAACATTTTATCCTATTACCAAATACCAAAGTCAGTACCCCATTAGTTTGTTTGTTCATTTTTAAAGATTTTATTTATTTATTTGGGGGGGAGGAGCAGAAGGGGAGGGAGAGAGACAAGCGGACTCTGCTGAGTGCTGAGCACAGAGCCCAATGTGGGGCTTGATCACATGACCCCAAGATCATGACCTGATGAAACCAAGAGTTGGACACTTAACCAATTGAGCCACCCAGCTGCACCCCCATACTTGTATTCCACCTTATGGTTTAAATAACATCATCACAAGCATTATATTAGTTGATCTTACAAAAGAACTAAAGTTAAGGAAAAAATCCATTTAACAGATGAAATAAAAGCACAGGCAACTAAATGACTTGCCTATGATTATACTGAGTAAAGCTAGGAATTAAATTCTGGCCTCATTTCCTCAAGACCAGAATTCTTTCAATTTTATGTGTTTGCAAAATAAGCTACCTAGACAGCATTTTTCTCCATTTTCTTACCAACTAGTAAAAGAATCTCATAAAATACACCACACTTATTAATATATGCCAAACCTTAAAAGATTCCTCCAACTGGCATTGCTGCTTTATCACCTCCTCCAATAATCTAATGGGCTTTCACCCCTAATCCTAAAGCTGTAAAAGTCTAGCAATTTGGATAAAAATAAAGTTTGATCCCTACCTTCCTTTTTATGTCAATATATTAATATTACCAAATAAGGAAATATAAAGATATAAAACATTGTAAAATATAAAACTTTACGATTTTGAAGTTGAAATACTAACAAAACCTTGAGGCTATAAATTTTAAAACCCAGTAAGTCTGACCACATAAAATTTTTAATGTCTATACTGACAAATAAATGAAATAAAAACAACACAAAATCAAAAGACAACAAATCAGGAAAAACATCTGTTATATATAAGCAGCTAATATCTGGCAATGTCAATATGTAAGAATTATTTGTATAAGTAAAATAACTTTTGTCTTTGTGTTTCAATGAAAAGACACATCCCTGGCTTTCGTAACTCTGTTTCAGTCTCCTTTTATTCATTCTTCCTCATCTTCCCAACGGGGGGGTAGTATCCCAAAAGGCTCAAATCTTCACATTTCTTCTAACTATTCACAACCAACACTGAGTCCATATCATAGCTGATGTCATCCAATTTCATGGCTTTAAATAGGCTCTATAACCTAACAACTTCCAAATGCACATTTTCAATGGGAAACATCCCATTGAACTGAAACATGCTTTCCTACCTGACATTTTCACTTGAAAGCCTAAGAGATATATGGGGCACCTGGGTGGTTCAGTTGGTTATGCATCTGACTTCAGCTCAGGTTATGATCTCCAGGTCCTGGGATCCGCCCACATTGGGCTGTCACCGGGGAGTCTGCTTCTCCCTCTCTCTCTGCCTCTCCCCGCCATGCTCTCAGATAAATAAAATCTTTAAAATAAAAAAAAGTCTAACAGATATATATAAATTAACATTTTGAAAAACCCTCTTGACTTTTACCCCAACACTCTTTCTGCCCCAATCTTTCACATCCCAGTAAATGTAAACTGCTTTCATCCAACGGCTCAAGCAAACTTCTTTGTAATCATCATAAGCTCCTCTCATTCATATCTCACATCTAATCCATCCCTGAGTTCTGTCACCTCTACTTTCAAAACATTTCTTGAATCTGACAATTTCTAACTATACCTTCTTCTAATACTCTAGTCAAGGCCACCATCACCTCTTTCTGGAACTACTACAATTACAGTTCCCACGTGTTACATAATGAAGAATTTGCCTGAACTTTGTCTAGGGTTCCTGAGAGGAAGGTACTAACTTGGACTTTCCTGAGTGACAGGAGTATCTTTGTTATTGATGGTGGGCCCCTAGGACCACACCTGAATCTATGCTAATGAGGTGACTCATGGTAGGCCCCTAGATAGTTGCAGTATACCGGTGGGCCATGCTGGAATGACCTACCATGTGACTAGAGGGGTGGGGCTTTAAGCCATATGATATCAACCTGACCTCCAAGGAGATGGGGCTGGACACGGAGGTCCCTCACACAGTTAATGATTCAATTAACCATACCTAGATAATGAAACCCAATTAAAAAAAACTCTGGACACTTGGCTCAGTTGCTTAAGCATCTGCCTTTGGCTCAGGTCGTGATCCCAGGGTCCTGGGATCGAGTCCCGCATTGGGCTCCTTGCTTGGCAGAGAGCCTGCTTCTCCCTCTACCTGCTCTGCCTGCCACTACCCCTGCTTGTGCTCTCTCTCTCTGACAAAAAAATAAATAAAATCTTAAAAAAAAAAAAAAACTCTGGACACTGAAGCTTGGTTGAGCTTCCTGGTTGGTGAACACATTAATGTGCTGGGAGGGTGGGATGCCCTGATTTCACAGGAGGAAAACATGGAAACTCTGCATTTGGGACCTTCCCAGACCTTACCCTGTGGGTCTCTTTTGGCTGTTCCTAATTCGTACCCTTTATAATAAAACAATAATTGTAAGTATAGTGCTTTCCTGAGTTCTGTGAGTCATTCTAGTGAATTATTAAACTTGAGGGGATTAATAGGAACCCCCAAATTTATAGCCAGTTGATCAGAAGCACAGGTGGGCCAAGAATCCCAGAGCTTTCAGTTGGTGTCTGAAATAAGCGGAGTTTCATGAAGGACTATTCCCTTACTCTGTGAAGTCTGTGCTAATTCTGATTAGGATCAGACTTGCATTACACCACCTACCACTCATTATCACAGTATCTACACTCCTAACTAAATATCTTCATTTGTGCAATAGATCCCATATCATCTTATTTACTGAAGGACCCTGATTCATCAATTCTCGTTTCCTTATCATGAAAATCTTGCTCACGGCGCCTGAGTGGCTCAGATGGTTAAGCGTCTGCCTTTGGCTCAGGTCATGATCCCAGGGTCCTGGGATCCAGTCCCACATCGGGCTCCCTGCTCCGCAGGAAGCCTGCTTCTCCCTCTGCCTCTGCCTCTCTCTCTCTCTGACTCTTATGAATAAATAAATAAAACTTAAAAAAAAAAAAAAAAGAAAATCTTGCTCACTACCACATGATTCATCATAAAAAAATGCTATTAGTTCTCCCACTTATTAACAAACTTCTCTAGACCTCACTTCCTCACGTTACTATCCTCTTTCCTTGTTCCTATCTGCAGTAAAATTTCTCAAAGGAGTTGTTGATGCTCAGTCCCTCCCATTCTCTCTTAGACCCATTCCAGCCACCAAACACATCCATGTTACCAAATCCAATGGTTAACTCTCTGTTCTCATCTTACTTCATGAGCAAAATTTGACACAGTTGATCACTTTCCTCCTTTTCCCTTAAACCTGGTTTTTCTTCTACCTGAGAATACTTCTTAGTGTCCTTTATTGGTTCTTCCTGTACACTCAATCCCCTAATGCTGGAGTACCCCAGGGCACAATGACTGGTCTTCTCTATCTACATTAATTTCTTTTGTGAGCTCAATCAATCTTATAACTTTAAAAATATTCACACGTTGATTACTAACACTCCACCTTTAGAAGGGATCAAGCAGGCACTAGAGGAAAAAAGCAGCACCAGGTAAACAAAGCAGACCAGAATAGCACTGCAAGGGCTCTGGAACCTAAATTATCATTGGAAAGAAAGCCCAAAATAGTATGCTACTACCTACAGCTAAGTCTAAGCATGGTGACTGCTTGCTAAAGTAGAAGACTTAAATAGGATACAGAGTTTCCTAACATAATACTCAGAATGTCCATGATACAATAAAAACTCACTTGTCAGAGCAAGAATCAGGAAAACAGCAAGCTGAATTAGAAAAGACTATCAAGAGATATTAACATGGAGATAAACCAGATGTTGGAATGATCTGACAAAGATTTTTTTTTTTTAAGATTTACTTATTATTTGAGAGAGAGAGTACCGTGCCTGTACCTGTGGGGGAAGGGCAGAGGGAGAAGCAGACTCCCTGCTGAGCAGGGAGCCCCCATGCCCATGACAGCTGGATGTGGCTGGATCTCAGGACCCTGAGATCACGACTAGAGCCGAAACCAAGAGTTGGACACTTAACCAACTGAGCCACCCAGGCGTCCCATGATCTAGCAAAGATTTTAAAGGAATCATTATAAAAATGCTTGAGAGAGCAGTAACCGATGTTCTTAAAACAAATGAAAAATTAGAAAATCTCACCAAAGACATAGAAAAAAAGAACCAAAAGGTGACATCAGTGAAATGGCAGACTAGGAATCTCCAAAAATCTTCTCCATCACAGCAATGAGAAAACTGGCAAAAGTTCTCAAATCAACTTTTTCAGAAATTTGAAAATTAGGCAAAGACTTGCAATAATGTTGGAAACATTTTCCTAAGAAGACTGCCTTTCAGTAAGGACAGAAAGCTTGGTGGCATTTTTATTCCCACCTCTCCACCCCAGCTCCATGGTAACCATGAAAACAAATAGAATGCTCCTCTCTTATTATAGTCTTTGGTTTAAAATCTAATTTGTCTGATACAAGGATTGCCACCCGAGCTTTCTTTTGATGTCCATTAGCATGGTAAATGTTTTTCCACCCCCTCACTTTAAATCTGGAGGTGTCTTTGGGTCTAAAATGAGTCTCTTGCAGATAACATATCGATGGGTCTTATGTGTGGTGTTTTTTTTTTTTTTTTAAGATTTTATTTATTTGACAGAGAGAGACACAGCGAGAGAGGGAACACAAGCAGGGGGAATGGGAGAGGGAGAAGCAGGCTTCCCGCGGAGCAGGGAGCCTGATGTGGGGCTCGATCCCAGGACCCCGGGATCATGACCTGAGCCGAAGGCAGACGCTTAACAACTGAGCCACCCAGGCACCCCATGGGTCTTGTTTTTTTATCCAATCTGATACCCTGTGTCTTTTGATTGTGGCATTTAGCCCATTTACATTCAGAGTAACTATTGAAAGATATGAATTTAGTGCCATTGTATTGCCTGTAAGGTGAGAGTTATGTGTATTGTCTGTGTTCCTTTCTGGTCTATGTTACTTTTAGACTCTCTTTGCTTAGAGTACCCCTTTCAATATTTCTTGTAGGGCTGGTTTGGTGTTTGCAAATTCTTTTATTGTTTGTTTGTCCTGGAAGCTTTTTATCTCTCCTTCAATGGCCAACAGACACATGAAAAAGTGCTTAACATCACTCGGCATCAGGGAAATACAAATCAAAACCTCAATGAGATACCACCTCACGCCAGTCAGAATGGCTAAAATTAACAAGTCAGGAAATGACAGATATTGGCGAGGATGTGGAGAAAGGGGAACTCTCCTACACTGTTGGTGGGAATGCAAGCTGGTGCAGCCACTCTGGAAAACAGGATGGAGGTTCCCCAAAAAGTTGAAAATAGAGCTACCATACGACCCAGCAACTGCACTACTGGGTATTTACTCCAAAGATACAAACATAGTGATCTGAAGGGGCACGTGTACCCCAATGTTTATAGTAGAAATGTCCACAATAGCCAAACTATGGAAAGAGTGTGGATGTCCATCAACAGATGAAGGGATAAAGAAAATGTGGTATATATACACAATGGAATATTATGCAGCCATCAAAAAATGAAATCTTGCCATTTGCAACGACGTGGATGGAACTAGAGGGTATTATGCTAAGCGAAATAAGTCAATCAGAGAAAGACAATTATCATATAATCTCACTGATATGAGGAATTTGAGAAACAAGACAGGGGATCACGGGGAAAGGGAGGGAAAAATGAGACAAGATGAAACCAGAGGGGGAGACAAACCATAAGAGACTTTTAATCTCAGGAAACAAACTGAGGGTTGCTAGAGTGGAGTGGGGGGAGGGATGGGTGGCTGGGTGATGGACATTGGGGAGGGTATGTGCTATGGTGAGTGCTGTGAATTGTGTAAGACTGATGAATCATAGGCCTGTACCCCTGAAACAAATAATATATTATGTTAATAATAAATAAATAAATGAAATAGAATGCAATCATGGGGCAGAATGGGGTTGGGGCTCCTTAAAACATTATTCTCTAAGAACTGTCACTGCTTGATCAAATCTGGTGGTTCAATGGAAACCTCAGTCACAAGGCTGTCTTCAGTTTTCCTGACTTTGAGCTCAACTAGTACTAACAGACTTCTCTCAGGAAGTGTTTGTTGAAAAAATTCAGAGGCAATTAGTTAACATCGTGACTGCCTGAGGTGGTAGGCAACAGGGCAAATAACAGTCTAACCAAAAAGCTTAAAAGGAAAATATGAGAAATAAGGTGTCCACAGAGGACTCTGAAAAGTTCAAACATATTCCTGAGAATCCAGAAGGAAATGTTCATGAACAGAATTGTGCCCATGCCCAGAGTGGTGTAAGCTCAGGAAAGATCTGAGAAGGCCTTAAACACTTGTGTATGGCTAACCTTGAGTCTCTGAGCAAGCAGGAAGTAAAAGCTCAAGGCAGAGTTGTAACCTGCCTGGCTGAGTGTTGAAGACACACCAAAACAAGCACACAGAGCCCCTCAACAAAGAATTACTGGTTCCAGGTGTTTAAGGAAACCTCTACCCAATAAAAAGAAAAATAGCCCAATTTAAAAACGGGCAAATGATTTGAATAAACATTTCTGCAAAAAAGAGATACAGATGACCAATAACCATATGAAAGGATGTTCCATATCATTAGTCATAAAGGAAATGCAAATCAAAACCACAATGAGATACCTTCACATCCACTGGGAAGGGTATAATAAAAAAGATGGACAATAACAAGTGTTGACAAGAACGTGGAGGATTCATTGCTGGTGGGAATGTAAAATGATGTAGCCACTCTGGGAAATAGCTTGACAGTTCCTCAAAATGTTAAACATGGAGTTATCATATGGCCCAGCAATTCTACTACTAGGTATATACGAAGAGAAATGAAAATATACATCCATACAAAAATTGTACATGAATGTTTGTAGCAGCATTATTCACAATGGCCAAAAAATGTTAACAATCTAAATGTTCATCAATGGATAAATAAAATGATAAATAAATAGGATAGGATTAGGATAAAAAAAATTGTCTATCCAAATGATGGAATATTATTTAGCCATAAAAATGAATGAAGTTTTGACACATGTTACAACATGAATGAATCTTGAAAACACTATGCTAATTGAAAGCAGTCACAAAAGACCACATGTTGTATTATGCTACTAAATCTATAAACAGAAGTAGATTAGTGGTTGCCTAGGTGGGGGGAGAGGGAGGAGAAAATAGGAAGTGACTACTAATGAGCATGGTGTCTCCTCTGGGATGATGAAATTATTCTAAAGTTAGACAGTGGTGATAGCTGCATTAACTCTGTGAATATACTAAAAACGCTGAACCGAACACTTTAAATGGGTTAATTTTTTGGTGTGTAGGAACCAGTAGGTCACTGGTCAGATTAGAAAGGTAAATTCTCAAGACTAAATGGGCAGTGTGGAAGCTGAAACAAGTATATTCTCTTTCTTCAAGCAGTTTGGACAAGAAAGGAAGGAGAGTAGTATTTGCATATACCTGGTATTCAAAGTCCTCTTCTGTATGAAGAGGACTTTGAAGCATTAATATTTATCCAAGAGAGGAAATAATTTCAGCTTGAAGATAAATGTAGTATAGTAATTGTGGCATATGCAACTGATACATGATGAAGAGGATGTATCTTTTGAGTTCTTTCCAGTAGTGCTTGGTTTCAGCGTACTGAATTCAACATTTTCCGCTTCAATTTATTTATATGTTTAGGACTTGTATTTTGAAACATGGTCCTTTAGGTGCCATATAGAGGTATAGATGTAGAGACCAGTACAGAGTAACACATTTAGGGAAAAGGCTACTGTGGTACTTTCCATTCCCTGAAATAAAACAAAAGAGGAAACCCCTAAGTACCGAGAAGGTACTTCAACATTAGTGGTTTTAATATCCCGGCTTTGGTGATTTTGAAAAATAAGAACAAAATCAAATTGGCTTTCACTAGGACATGCAGGTGACCACAATCATAATGCTTCTGAATGGATCTCCATTTGGGGGCAGAGGAATCTATAGAGAGGATAGTTTTTACACATGCCCTGTCATCTACACAAATATAATTACTACATAATCTTTTAAGACAGTTTTCTTTAAACTTTTTTAAGGTCACTTCTCTCCTTTAGTTCTGCTTAAATGCAAAAGCTGGTAACTTCACCTATACCAATATCCATACAAAGGATTAAACTGTTAAGTATTTAAAAGAAAGTGGCTTTTGTCCACAAGCTTTATTGAAACTGTCTCATTTACTATGACATCAAGGCTTTCTGAAGCAAAATAACTTGCCAAGGTCAAACAGCAAAAGAGGGGGAATGTCTGTCTGGATTCCAAGTCTGGCTGGAGCTATGTCAACCTCAACCTGTATCTTCTATACGAATGGGATCCTCAGGGAACTCAGTGTAGGACAGGACGCAAGAATATAAACACCAGAAGTACCCTCGAGGTGCTTCAAAATGATCAATTAAAAGTCAGCGACCTTTTGAAGGCTGCTGCAATGTGGCAGGCACCGCGCTAAACCCTCGATTTTCATTTAACTCCTACCAACAATCCGGGAAGAATTAAACCAGTTCACAAACAGAAGCTGAAACGTGGAGATGCCCGAAATTGTACAGTCAAATTAAGTAAATACATCTAGTTCCAACGATTCCCAGCACCGTCCAGGGGTAGCACGGGGTTAAAAAATGTCAGCTGGGTAATCACCCAGACCTGGTGTAAAATCTGGTCTGCCCTCGATCTCTGAAGCACAGCCTGGTAACTACTAGGGAGAGTAAAAGGGGGCCTCGGGATCCTGGTACCAGCGAAGGGAGAGGACTGAGACGGCCACCTCCCGCCAGCCCCTTCCCCGCCCGGGCTGCCGCTCCCCGCCTGTCGCTCCCCGCCCCCCGCCTCCCAGATCCCGGCAGCCGGGACCCAGCCGACCTAGACGCCCCACCCCTTCCGGAATCCTGCCCCCCACGTTCTCCTCCCTGCGCTCACCAGCATGGGGACTCCGTAGCGAAGCGTCTTGTTCTTGCGCAGGGCGCGCATCACCGCATGTACAGACATGACTGAACTCTCCCGCGCGTGGACGCCTAGTCCAACAGGCCCAGCGCGGCCTCCCGAATCCAAGCTCCCTCCCCAGGAGGAAGTCCTTGACTCGCCTCCTTTCCTTGGCCTCCCGGGGCTCGGTCCTCCCCCGATAGGCCTCCGCCAGACGAAAGCAATCGATGCGTCGCAACACACTCGCGCGCCCGCGTGGAAAGTCGAGCGTCGGCTCTTTGGTTCCGGCACACTGGTTTGCAGTCGGGATTTAGGGACTGAAGCCGTGTTTGTCGTTCTCATCATATGATGTGGAAACCGGTACCTCCCACGTTCTGGGTCTTGGCCAGCGTCTTCTGACGTTTCCTAACACGTAGCTGTTCTGTAAAATCAGCCAAGAAAAAAAAGTTACTTTGGAGCTAGTATTGCAGCTTCTGGTACTCTGGCTATTTGTGGGGTGGGGAGTTTACCAGCTTAATAAAGATTTAGAAATAAATAAATCACCACGAAAGGGTAGGTTGAATGGCAGTGTAGTGCCTTGATATCACTGAACCCTTAATGCTAGTTGCTTTAACTACTAGATAGCCTGTAATCTTCAGTCATTTATGAATGTCTATTTTCCACTCACTCTGCATCCCTCCAGCACACATTTTTGCAGGTCATTAGAAGGTTCGAGGAAAACAGAGATGAAAAGATACAATCCCTACCTTAAAGAAGCTGGCAGTTTAATGGGCAAACAAATGAACATGTGCCTTAAGTACAACAGTTGCTTAGGAAACAGCCCCCACGTGCCATTTGCCAGGGTGAGTCCAAGAAAGCCTCACCTACCAAGTACTATTTGAGATGACATAATAGTATAAAATACAGGTGACATGGAGTAACATTTCCCATGTTATCCCTGAGATCTTCCCATCGGTCCCTGCCTCTATTGCCGCTGAAATGTTCCTGGTTTAATCCCTTGTCATCTTTCCACATATTGAAGTCACCCCTAAGTGGTCTTCAGAAGAGAAACTCCAGCTCCACCTTTCACCTGCTCTAATCTATAGATTAGACCATATCTATAGTCCCACCGGGTCAAATATGAAAAACAAACAAACAAACAAACAGACAGACATAACCTTAATTGTGATTCTCAAGTCTGTCTTCCACACTGCTGAAAAGTTATCTAAAAAGCAGAAATGATGAGATTCTCCTGGTTGGTTTTATTTGTTCATTTGTTTGCCTACACAAGTCACTCTCACACTGTATTATCAGTTTTAGTGTATAAAGTTATTGTTGCTCCAAATAGCATATAAGCAGGATGAAAACAGGAAAGAGAGAAGGATATTTCAGAGTTTGAATTTGAATGTTGGGGTTTAATTTTTGGTTCTGAGGTTGAGGAAATGAGTCAAACCTCCCAACCCACCCCCATTCCCCAAAGAAGCATCACCTGAGCTGAGCCAAGGGAGATTTTGGACTGATGAGGACAAGCTTTATTAAAGTGAGACTGAAAATTCCTTACCGCTATTTCTCCAATCTTCTGTCACCCCAATCTCTCCAAGGAAGAGACACCTTGCAAACCAGAGGACTGAAACAATAAGGTGGGAGCACTTAGCCTTAGAGGTTAAGTCAAGCTGCACCGTGGGGAGTGCTGGGTAAAAATTATGTAAATTCATGGGAAAGAGTCTGGAGCAGTTATAGAATGCAAGAGAATTTAGGATTGGAGGGATGGGCATATAAACAGTGTTGCTATGGGTCTCCTTTAATGTGATTTTTTTGTACTTTATTTTGAATTATATGACTTTTGTTTTTTGTTGTATGTTTGTTTAAACAAGCTCTGCATTAACCTACTTAAAAAAGGGGGGGAGCACTTGTTTCCTGTACCCCCATCCCCGTGCAAAATTTTATCCCTCGTCTATTAAGTTCTTCTTGGGGACTATTATATAGGTGGTTTTACTGGTACCTTAAAGGAATTTACTGGTACCTTAAAGGAATTCATTTCATGAATCCAAGAGCCTTTTCCTTCTGACTGTATGATCATAGGGCTTATATATCAACTTCCTTTGCAAGTTGTTTGAAGGTTTCTGGAAGCATTTGATTTCTTAAAGCCTGTCCTTCATGGGGACAGGGTGCAAAGCTTTTTACTGTCTGCATATATTGGTGTCCATCAAAAAATTATCATTTTCTGTGTAACCCCAGAATTGATGCCCAGGGAAAAATTAGAAGTCCAAGAAGAATGATTGGAGACTAGAGCACTGAGGAGAAAAAGAAAATCTGAAAACAAAACGTAAATGCATTAGAAGTTTGTATTAGGATGGTCTGAGGGATGGAGAAACTGGATGGTAAAGGGCCAATTTGCGGAGGCTTCTGTGGTGAGGCAGAGGGGGCTGTGGGGGGCAGGTGCCGAAGCTCATTGTGATGGGAAGGGGGTGTGCAGGCTGTAGCTAGGGAACCAAGCCCAGGGTGCCCTTGGGGCTAGACAAGCTTGAAATCAGAAGGCTTCGGGCGTCTGGGTGGCTTGGTCAGTTAAGACTCTTGATTTCAACTCAGGTCATGATCTCAGGGTCGAGAGATCGAGCCCCGTGGTGGGCTCCATGCTCAGTGGGGAGTCTGCTTGAGGAGTCTCTCTCCCCCTCCCCTTCTGTCCCTCCCCCCTCATTCACATACACCCCCCCCTAAAATAAATAAATAAATCTTTTAAAAAAAGGAAAGAAAACAGAAGCCTTCTGAGGAAATGACATGAAATTGAGAATTTCACTAGGAAATCAGTGGAGGAGCAAACACATAAACTTTAAAGTTTGTATGAAGAGCCTGAGGGGAAGAGTCTGGCATTTCTCAGTAACCAAAAGGCCAGGGAGGGGAGGGATCAGAGAGAAAGGGTGAAATGTTGGGTAAAATGAGTTTGGAGAGCCGGCAGGAACTAGATCGTACAGTGCCTTGGAGTATTTTGGACTGAATCTGAAGGGCAATGGGAAACTTCTAGGGGCTTTTTAAGTAGAGGAAAGACATGATTGAATCTGTTTTAACCAGGATCTCTAGTCTAAGGCAAGCAAATTGGAGGGCAACACAATGGCTAGTGAAGAGGGCAGTTAGAAAGCTAATGCAGTAGTCCACGTGAAATTGGATGGTGGTTTGGACTAAGATTCAAGGAACAATGTGACAGGTGGGGAATAGTAAGAGACAGAATAAAATGCTGAAAGTGACATGCCACCAAACAGAATGGGCCCAAATGACCCAGGGTCATTTGACATGGTCCTTTGCTTTAGATAGTGGTTGCTGTCCAGAAAAGCTAACTCAAAACCTCTTCTCTATACAGTGGTTCCTAATTAACCATTGGCCTCAGGTACAAAGTTTGAAATGCAATTGCAGTGTGGTTGAGGATGGATGAAAGTTTTGAGATGGAAGAGTCACTCCCCATTAACTGCTCAGGGGCCCTGCAGGCTACATATTGCCAGACCCTAGCAGGCAGTGGAACCAGCCATAATTTTAACTAATAATTGATTATGGATTAGGAAACCGGCTAACCAAGCTTGTTAGAAAATTATATCAAATAAAACTGAGGACTTTTTGCTCCTGGGTTTGGTGATATTTGATTGCTCAGGTTTTAAAAAAAATTGTTGTCATTGCTTCCTTCCTTGTTCTTGGCTATTTTCTAGAGAGTTCAGATTACCTTTGGGTATGTATCTCAGTCATTTCTATAGGTTTGGGAGAAACAGTAGAAATTAGAGGGACAGAGAACCCACGACAGTAGTGGAAGTGCATTCACTAGGTTTTTTATTTTTTGTATTTTAATGTTTTGACATCTGGGGCCTTGCTGACCCTACAGGGACTGCTCCTCCCAGGGTCAACGGATTTTTACAGATAGTGAACAACTCTCTCATGAGTGTACTTCTCCAATACAAACCAAACAATCTGGAGCCCACACTCCTTTATGGAGCTCTCACGCTCAGGGTCATTATTCACATGCCCTAATCACCCCAAGGCCAGATACCAGACAACTAGGTATGCCACAAAGACCACTACAATTATTCAAACCAGACAATCCTAACCCTATTTACCTGGCGTTGCCTGCTCTTTCCGATGCAACCACAGTAACGGCTCTTGTCCACACCTCCTCCCTTTCCCTCTGCCTTACGACCAATGCTAGTGCTTTCCTCCGTGGTCCCCATGGCAGGATGTGTCCCCTTCTCTTGGGAACCTTGTGTAACAGGCTGTCTTTTCAATGTCAGTTGTCTCCTGATCTTTTGGCCTTACTATACCTCAATTATTCTATTAATACCCAATATCTAAAACAGGTCGGAAAAACTACCAACTTTTTCTTATTCCCTATCTTCTATCTGCACCTGAAGAGTCCCTACTCTTTGTGACTTCTGGCAAATAAATTTTCCATGAATAAATTATTCTTCTACATGCATTATTTTCTTCTTAGACACACAAGCAAGGGCAATGTGGTGGAGTATAAAGAGCACAGAACAAGTTCTGGTCTGGCTTCAAATCTTGATCAGATATGGTCTCCCCCCATGCTGTGAAGAGCTCAGTCTAGCCTATTGGAAGATGAGAGGCCACGTGGTGAAGAATCAAAGCACCCTAGCCAATAGCCAGGACTAAGTGCCAAAGTGAGGCCATTCTGGACTGCCCAGCCCTCACCCCTGTTCTGCCATCAGATGGATGCAGCTGCATGTGACTCCAGGTGGTATCAGCAGAAGAAACACTCAGAAACCCACAGAATCTTTTAAAAATTATTAAAATATTGTTTTAACTCATGAGGTTTTGCAGTGGTTTGTTATATAATTGATAACTAACATATCTTCTTTGCCCATCAAGGGAGAAAAGGGCCATTCTGTACACACTACAATGATAGGCTAGCCCTTGGACTTCATTCAGGTCTGAACTTTGCTTAAGTCATGTGACAGAGCAATGATGACCAAGGTAAACTGCCTTTTCTCTTCATCCAAGTCAACTATATGCAAAGCAACTTAGACAAAAGGTCAATATTCAGTTCTGACAAGTCCTTTTTCATTCGGTGGCACAAACCCATTTCTGCCTTCTATATGTCTTGTCAGGCATTTGGGGCACAGAGGGGATACAAATAAGATAGTGAATGTTGGCGACTGTGTGTACCCTTATCCTTATCTCCTACATCAAAGCCAAACCCCAAACTGGTCATTCAGACTTCTTCCTTTCCTCTTCCCACTGTTCTGTGAGATGCAGAAAAATAAGGACATATTTATTCAATAATCTCCAAGATAAGGTGGATAAAAGATGTAAAGTTTCCTTGACAAATGCAAAAAGTTTTCATTGAATGCCGATATGAGTGAGGCACAGTCAGATACACTGTTACCTTGTTTGCTATCTCTGGTATCAAAGAGCAAAGTTTAGGAGAGATTATCAGCTATTTTAATGGCCTCTTTTACAATTTAATCTGTGGTGATATTCCCTAGAAGATACGGTTTTATGTCCCTGTGTCTTCCAAGTTACATCAAGGCATCTATTTGACCTGAGAAACTGATTGCTGTTTAGATCTAGGCATGCAATGTGAATTAGGATCAAAGTAGAAAGGAATTGGGCGCCTGGGTGGCTCAGATGGTTAAGCGTCTGCCTTCGGCTCAGGTCATGATCCCAGGGTCCTGGGATCGAGCCCCGCATCGGGCTCCCTGCTCCTTGGGAGCCTGCTTCTCTCTCTCTCTCTCTCATGAATAAATAAATAAAATCTTTTAAAAAAAAAAGTAGAAAGGAAGCAAAATAAGGTTCATAAGGAAAATAATCGTATGAGAAGTAACATGGCCCGGGGGTAAAAATGCACATATGTCCAGGAATAAGAAACTCATATTCAAATCAGCATTGCAAATGCAGAATTAAATTGGGATTCAATTCGGAAATCTGTAAACTAGGAAGAGGGATCGTCCCATTTGCCTGTGATTGGTTAATAAATTTCGTGAAGTTCTTTTGTCAATGACTCTATTAATGACTGACTTGCATTTGAAAACATACTTCAGCGCTCTCCCCTACTCTTTTCCCCCTGCAAAAAGAAAAAGAACATGAACAGTATGGAAAATGTTTAGGAACCTAGCATTTGTAGAACTCCTTTAGACACAGCAATACTTTTTTATGATATAGGTTGTTACAGTAGCAAAGGCATCAGGTAAGCACATCAAGTGTTTTATAGTGTGTGTGTGTATAAATATCAACATCAGGCAAGAGTCTATGGCAATTAAGAACCTGGTTCCGATCAGAACAGAATTCCTTAAAATTCTGTCTTCTTTTTTATCACAATTGCCCTTTTGGATGTGAGTGCTGGTCTCAAAAAAATTTGCTTAACAGAACAAAGAGAAAGAGCAAAGGGGGCTTATTCCAGGATAGTAACCAACTCTAAACCTATTATAGGTAAGAGGTTGAGAGCTCCATAACTTAATCTTCTACTTCTAGATGATGTTAGCAAAATACTTTAAGATCACCAACAAATACTCCCCCGTGTTCAGATAATGAGCTATTTCAGCTTAGAGTGACTAGATCTTATGCATCTCTGTATTGTCAACTAGTATATAGTAAGGCACTCATGTGTTGAAAGAAAAAAGCTTCATCTGTCCAAAGATAAATTCTGACTAAAATGGACTAGAATAAAATCTTCATTGGCTCCACATGAAATTACACAAATGTCACTCCCCCCCCCTTGCCCATACTTGACAGCCTAATGTTTATGTTGTTCCGTTTCTTTAAATATAGTTTAAATTGCGGGGCGCCTGGGTGGCTCAGATGGTTAAGCGTCTGCCTTCGGCTCAGGTCATGATCTCAGGGTCCTGGGATCGAGTCCCGCATCGGGCTCCCTGCTCCTTGGGAGCCTGCTTCTCCCTCTGCCTCTCTCTCTCTCTCTCTCTCTCTGTCTCTCATGAATAAATAAATAAAATTAAAAAAAAATAGTTTAAATTGCTATTTACACAAGAAAAACAATGTTCAACATCAAAAAACACCCTCTCTAGTTTAGAACTACTGGAACTAGTCACAGAAGAACTCATGTGATGGAACTTTATATTAGGGCTTTCACACATTATTCCGTGGAATCTCCCAGTTCTGCATGATGGCTTGCAGTCCCCGGTCTCTATTCAAGGCCCAGAGAGAAGATAGAAGTGGATTGAGATAAAAAGGATAGTTTCATCTATGTTCATATAGTGCATACATTCCAGACATAAATATGAGACAGAAAGGGCACCTCTGCAACAGATTAAGTCTTTGATCGGAGTTGTTTGTTTACCTCTCTGGGCTTTGATTTTCTCATCTCTTTCTTAGATTCATCCTAGAATCTTTCTTGCTCCCTTTTAGCTCCAATGTTCTTTGACTGGGTTCTAATTTATTTAACAGATGCACAAACTGAAACACTAATGCATTTTGCTGGTCAGTCCTCAGCAAATAAGAAGCCGTAGAATGCTCTTCTTATTCTACATCTATACTTGGGCAGAAGCTCACAGAGAGCTGGGCTCTAAAAAGGCCCAAGTGAAATTCTCATTTTATACTGGAGCAAATGCCTGTGTGTGATTTGATAATTCCTTTAAGTTTTTATTTAATAATTTAAATGCCACGGACCATTGTTTACTGACACCGCAGAGTGGATCCACCTAATGAACTTTATTTTACTGCTGCCTAAGTCTCACCCCCCCACCCAGGAGATTTTATTTAATTGGTCTACGTGCAGCCTGGGCACAAGAATTTTACAAGCTCTTCAGATGATTCTAACCTGAGAAAAAGGGGAGAACTATTGGTAGAGAGCAGTGATTTTCAAACTTTACTGTGAACCAGTCACCTGGAGGGATTGTTAAAACACAGATTGCTGGGTGCTGTACGCAGTTTGATTCAGTAGGTCTGGGGTGAAGCCCAAGAATTTACTTTTCTAACAAGTTTCCCAGTGATACCGATGCTTTTATCCAGAGACCACACTTTGAGAGCTGCGGCCAGTGAGAAATATCATTGACAGTGGCACCTGAAGTCCTAAGTTATATCCTGATTCTATCATTACCACCTATGTAATCTTAGGAAAAGTAATTTATTCTCTTTTCCTTAGTGTCTTTTTAACAATACTTAGATCTCAGAATTGTGAGTCATGAACAAATAGTGTACCCACCCAGGTTTAGTACACTACGTGGCACAAAATGCAGTAACAAATATTAATTTCCTTTTTCCATTATACATGGCTAGATGGTGTGAATAATTAAGTGAAATCAATAGCACAGATTTCTCTTGGCAGGAAAAGAGAGACAACAGAAGCAAACAATGTCTTACTAAATTCTGTGTGCAATATAAGATGATAAATACAGAGAAGTGTTTTAAGTATGTTGTCTTAAAATACTTGCACTCAATTTTCAAAACTTTAAACACAGTAATTTAGGTAGCAGGAATATTAGATACAATCTATAACGTGAAAGAAATATTAGATTCCATCTATAAAGATCATGAATTTTTTTAATGACTTACAATAAAATCCGATACCTCATCTAGGATAATAATTTAGTTTTCTAGAGAATCAGAAATAAAAACTGAATAGTATACTTGTCTAAAACTTTAATCATGGATCTTTAAATGCTCTTTAATTCCAGGGAAAATCTAAATTATTAAAGTGCATAAGAATCCCTATCATTAAACAAAGCAAAACTTCTACCGACGAGGTGATAGGAGTCCTTTTTATTTACATCTACCAACAAACAAAAAAACACTAGATAGCTTTCCCTCCTGCTTGCCATTTGCTTCATTGTGAACGTCTCAAGGTCCTCTCAGGAGTTGATGTCCAAACCCTGAGATGAACCCTGGGAGGGAAGCAGGCCCACGGCAGAAGCTGTCGCACAAGCCTCCAGACGCAGGGAGGGCAGCATGGCTTGGGCCCGCACAGCGGGGCTGGTCGAGGGGAGAACTGGAATACTGTCAGTGCGTCTTTGCTCACCCACAGGGGCAGCCGTCCAAGTGAGGCTCAAAGGTACTGGACACTTCAGGTCTAAAGGCCCAAGTCCTATCAGGATTGTTTAAAGCAAGTTTCTCCCTATACCAATGGTTGGCCCAGAGGCAAGGTCTTACGAGGGTTTTTATTTTTAAAAGCCTCCCCTTCCCACTCTGGCCTGATGCCATTATGTGACAGCTTTCCTTTTTGGAATTCCTGGGGGAAAAAAATGTGATGGCTGCCTGCACATGTCTGTTGCTACTTTTAACTGCTCATCTATTTATGTATTCTCTTAACTAGACTGTGAGCTCCTCAAGGGTCCTTAATTCATCCCCTTCCTCCATGGAACTTCCTCAAGTGTCTTCTCAGTAACTGTTCCCTGTTGCCGTCTGCAATATAAATGTGACATTCTTTGTGAAAGTGTCTTAACTAAGGTGGTGTCCAATCAACAAATGCTTACTGGATTATCCATGCTAAAAACTGGACACAACTGGTTACCTCAGGGAAAGTCTTCATACTCATGCTGTCAGGATTATGTAAGGCCTATAGTCTAGATAATATATTTGGAGGACGGAAATGATTTTTTTTTTAAGCCAGAGAATTAGTCTTGGTTCAGCTCTCCTTAGTGTTTTAAAACCAACGTTCGATATCACACGAACAGAATAGTTTGCACCTCATTAATGTCTTTGGTATTCCTGAGCATCCATTCATCCATAGCCTTCTCTCAAGGTTTCCCCATGAAACATCCACCAAACTTCCCTACCCACTAAAACAAAACAAAACCCCTTTCCTTCCCATTCCCTGCAAAAGGGTTTATTAGAAGCCATAGCCAGTGTTTAGAGCCTTTCAAAAAAACCTGCAATCCAAACCCTCTCAACTGAATCAGGAGCAGAGCTGATTTCATGCCTATCCTGCCAGAGAGCAGGTCCTTCTCTTAGAATTTGCCTATCACTAGAAACCAAAAAAATCTGTTAGATGGCCTGAGAGGGTTCAGGTGTCACCTTGGGGTCATTATCCTTTTGTATTTTAGAGTTCTTTCACTGGGTTGGTCTGGCCTCATCACCAAAGCTCTGACCACAGTCATTCCAGCTGATCCTTTAACAGGACTATGAGGTACCAAAAAAATCACTGGGGCAGCCCAGAGAACGAGTAAGATTTATCTTTACATCTCAAAGGGTGTGGAACAGATCGACTTGCACAAAGCTGGATTATGGCATTTTACCTCCACTTCAGCATAGCTATTATGAGAAGAAATATTGTTCTAAGATTTTTAATTAGTTGCTTTTTTTTTTTTTTTTAAATGACTCAGATTGGGCATCCTCTTTCAAGGCTCATTCTCTCACTCCTGCTATGTATCAAATTCTTCCATTAAGAACTTCCCTTTTATCAGAAACCTGAAACCACAGAGCAGCTTTCCACTTCTTTAATTCTCCGTAAGGCATCACTATTATACTGTCATGTATGGATATGTGTATGTGTGTGCACGCGCACGTGAGCACGCATTTGTTTTATAAAAGTAAAAAGGCTCTCATTATCCTGTGTTTGATATAGGCACCCAAGTATGTAGATAGAAATTAAATAAAGGCCACAAAAACTTCCCAAGGAAGATCATTAAGAAGAAAAATCCTCTCTTCTCTTGCATCACACAGCTGGCCTTTGAGGCATGCCAGCTCAGAAAAAGGTATCACCGTGCTGACGGAAAGACCGGACCTTTCCCTCTTTGGGTGGTAGCTGAACTTCTGTTGGTGATCCGAGCAAAATACCTAACTCCCCATTTGTTCTAAGCATGTCTTTTCTTCAGCTTTCTTTCAAACAATGCCTTCACTCTCCCATTAGATATGAGGATGTGGACATTTGGACAGTGAGGTCCTGCTTGGGTAGCAGTCTCTTTCAAGAACGTGTTGGCTATGCAGAGAGAGGGAAGGATATGGGAGAATGGCAGGGGACGAGGGTGAGAGGGAAAGAAAACGTGTCTTCTAGTGGGAGCACTGGAAGAGAGCAAGCTTTTCATAGTTGCTGCCGGTATCTCATGAAGGCCCAGGCTGCCACCATGGTGAGGGCAAACGCTGGCACCAGCACCAGAGCTATGGGGATGCCATTTGGCTCTCCTTCACTTCGATGTCCTAGAGGCCCATTCTGCACCTGTAACTGGAAGGGAGAGAAAAACATTAACTCTAATGAGCAATGTGTGTTTATCCCAACTGAAGTGTCCAGGTTGACACATTACCTGGGTCACGCCCACCCAAAGCTGTAACCTCCAAGCACTATCTAGCAGAAGGAGTCCTCCCTGTTTGTTCCAAATTGATCCATCAGCGCCATCAACTCTTTGGAAAGAAGTCTGATGGGGAGGCATTTAACCTTGCTATGCTACTGACCTAAAGGGACCCGAGGGTGAGCAGATAACCTCTTCCTGTTTCTCTACTGCCTCCACCACGTTCTGTGTGTATCACACTAGGAAAATGAAGATAGGAGATGAAACCTATTGATCCTGTAGGGAACCTCAAAATTACTGGGCAGGGGCAGAGGGTGCCCACCTTCCTAGAAATGTTTACTTAGAAAGATTGCCAGTTCTGAGCAATGTTAACACAGGTACAGTGTCATTTTTGGAAATACTTCCCAATTCCCAAAAGGCACCAACTCCCTCCTGATATGGTGTCATGGCCTTCATCTCTACTTTGTAACACTAGACATAGACAAAGACAAAGAGGAAACTTATATGGAACAGAGGTAAAAGATTGAGAGGTAAACAAGTAAAAAGAAATCATATCCTAGGGGCGCCTGGGTGGCTCAGTCATTAAGCATCTGCCTTCAGCTCAGGTCATGATCTCAGGGTCCTGGGATCGAGCCCCACATCGGGCTCCCTGCTCGGCGAGAAGCCTGCTTCTCCCTCTCCCACTCCCCCTGCTTGTGTTCCTGCTCTCGCTATCTCCCTCTCTCTGTCAAATAAATAAATAAAATCTTCAAAAAAAAACCCAAAAGAAATCATATCCTAGTGGTAATAATTTTCCACTGCCTAATAAGCATTACCTTTTGAGGCTGGGTGGCATTTCTTCAACTTTTTTTTTTTTTCTTAGCAAGCCAGTGAATGGGGGACAGGGAGGTGTGGGGGGTGGGGGCAGGGGCAGAGGGAGAGAGAGAATCCTAAGCAGAGTCCATGCCCAGTGTGGAGCCTGGGCTCGATTAACTGACTGAGCCACCCAGGTGCCCCTCTTCATATTAATTTTTTTTTAAGATTTTATTTATTTATTTGACAGAGAGAGATGGCGAGAGCAGGAACACAAGCAGGGGAGAGGGAGAAGCAGGCTTCCCGCTGAGCAGGGAGCCCAATGTGGGGCTTGATCCCAGGACCCTGGGATCATGACCTGAGCCGAAGGCAGACACTTAACGATTGAGCCACCCAGGCGCCCCTCATATTAACTTTTAATAGCTAACTTGTAAGAGTTATGATACCATTTTGTTTCAGTTCAATTTAACCTCCTCATTATAACCCGTGAAAAGTCTGACCCTTCCATCTTGAAAGGCAGCGCTGCATAAACTACCTTTTCTATCCTCTAGCCCACCTCTACATCTTTTTTTTTTTAAGGTTTTATTTATTTGAGACAGAGAGAATGAGAGAGAGAGAGAGCACATGAGAGGGGAGAGGGTCAGAGGGAGAAGCAGGCTCCCTGCTGAGCAGGGAGCCCAATGCGGGACTCGATCCAGGGACTCCAGGATCATGACCTGAGCCGAAGGCAGTTGCTTAACCAACTGAGCCACCCAGGCACCCCCACCTCTACATCTTTCACTCATTTCCTGTTCAGATGTCCCGAGAGGGCATGCCCAATAATAAGATATGGTTTTTGGGGCTAGGCCAATTCTCTGACCAGACAGAGTTTTATTAGGGGTTACTATGTTTTATTAGGAATTATTTATGGATGTTTCCCAAAACGTGAACTTCAGAAATCATTTCCCACATGCCTTCAAAAAGAACTCTAATCATACCTGAAGTGTATAACCACATTCATTGCTTGCCTTTACTATTGCATAAAGTCCTCCATGCTTTAGAAACAGAAGAGCCAAGGCAGAAACAGCTAATTACCAATACTGTCTCCTATTGACCTGTTTTCTAATCCATCACACAGATTCTGCTTGCAACCCTGGTATCTCTCATGCCTCGCCCCTTCTGCTTTGTACCATCTCCTATCAAGCTCTTCTTCAGCCTCTGAAGCCTCACTCAAAAGAGCGGAGTGAGGCAATGACAGCATCATTTAAGAGGGCACACTGAACCTGTGTTGTAAATGCACCCCGAAGTCCTTGGTGCTAAGGGAGGAATTAGGTCTACCCGGCTTCTCTACCCATTATCCAAATTATAAAACACTAGGAACTAAGAAGTGGATGCAGGGAGAGGTGCTGCTTTGACTCAATTCTTTTAAAAAAATTATTTATTTATTAGAGAGAGAGAGATAGAGAGAGAGCGCATGAGGGCAGAGGGGTGGCGGGGGGCAGAGGGAAAAGCAGATTCCCCAATGAGCAGGGAGCCCGATGCTGGGCTCAATCTTGGGACTCCAGGATCATGACTTGAGCCGAAGGCAGACACTTAACCAACTAAGCCACCCAGGCATCCCTTGACTAAATTCTGAATTCCATGTCCTTTTTCCTGGAGATCCCCTTTGAGCATTAGAGCTTTGGTCAAGAGAGTCACCAAGTTGATAAGAAAAGGGTTCATGTGGTGATTGGGAAAAGTACACAGTGGGTATCAGAAAGCCCACCACCTCTACACTTCAAGTTTCATTAATAAATATGTTCAAGGGCAGACATAGGTTTCCTTCCCTACTAAAAAATAAAATTGATTCTGGTTGAATTTTCTCCCCATTTATTTTATTTTATTAAGATTTTATTTATTCATTTGACAGAGAGAGAGAGCACAACCAGGGGGAGCAGCAGAGGGAGAAGCAGGCTCCCTGCTGAGCAGGGAGCCCGATGTGGGACTCGATCCCAGGACCCCGGGATCATGACCTGAGCCGAAGGCAGATGCTTAACTGACTGAGCCACCCAGGCGCCCCTCCCCATTTATTTTAATTTGGTTGTCAAGCTTTACATTTAAGGTACATCGCCTGGAAGCTAGGACCTAGGCTGCAAGCAGACTGTCTGAATTTCCTTTCACGATAAGCAGAACTCCCTGAAGACCCCTGCCTGTGCCAGACAAGCTTTTCAAAAGAGTGAGAATGAAAGAAAAAAAAAAAAGCCAAATGCACTACCGAAGATTACGCTATATCCTCTATTCCCAAGAATGATACAAAAGCGGTGCCAGCTTGCTGGCTGCAAATAACACCTACCCTGTGCTGCACTCTTAGGGACACAGCATAGCCTGCATTACGAAAAAGGTCTACAGCATCTTGGTGCAGCAAGTTCCTTAGGTCTTGGCCATTTACCTGTCAAAAACAGCAAGAAAAGTAGTAAGAGAGGTAGAATCATAAGTCAAAGATTTATATTCATGTGACTAAACATTTAAAAACTACAGAGCAAATTCCAAGGACTAGGAGAATGGGGCAAGTACCATAGAACTCAGAGTCACTTTTTCCTAGAACTGAGGTTCCAAGGTTTAAAAAATAAAAAAAGTAGTCTTTCCACCTCAGGTCCTGCTGCCTGTTTCATTTTGAAACTTGGGTTTCTGTTACTGTACCTGTGTGTCTTCCTTGAGCATCGGCCTGCTTCCCTCCAGCTAACATGGTCTTCTGGGTTACCACCCTATCCTTTCCATTGCTAATCCCTGGCACTGCTTGCTTCAACTCTGGAAATATAACTCTATGAAACAAATTTATTCTGATGTGGTGCAAACCTACTAGCCCATTCTATTGTGGACAATTTCCCTTGATTCCATGGATACGCCCATCCTCCACAAATTTACTAATTTTACAGTATTTCTTTGATGATACAAATTCCCAAAAAATGCTTCAGTGTAGGTCAGTCCTACCATTTAGAGGTGAGGGATGACCAGCGGTATTAATACTTCTTAGTGTCAGGAATGACACTCTCCACAAGTGATATCTACCCTACGTCATACTCAGTGACACCGCATAGCCCACTTTATGCAAGATCCACACACCTTTTGTACACATCAACGTCATCAACAGCAACAGTGGCAAGAACACCTCATGTATTTATCTGCTAGGTTCTGTGCTGTATGCTTTCCATACGCTGTCTAATGTTGTTGTCACGATAATCCTATGAGGTAGACACCATTTTTATCTTGTTTTCATAGATGATGAAACTGGAGCTTAGCAAGGTAGATAATTTACCCAAAGTCATAGTAAGTGTAGGAGCTAGGGGTAGTGTTTTTAAATATCGGGAGTTAAGTTACAGTGCCCTTGCAATTGACTGTTCCTTCTGCACTACTGTTCTTCCACCTGGACTCACGAACTATTCTTAGCTGAAGAGCAAGTCATTGATTTATTCAAGCCTCTCATCTTCCTTGTTACTGTCTTCCTTCTCCAAGAGGTTCCTATCATTCCTCCACACAATCTCCTGCTAGGTGAATTACTCTAACAACACTTTGGTGTTATAGACTGTCTACCTTACTCTTAGAAAACTGACCACGATCTCTACTCCCTTCACACTTCCTATTCCTCTACTGAATCTGCTCATTATGCTCATCAAAACCTTCAATAACCTTTTTAGATTTTACCTGCATCCTTACCCATCTAGGAGTTCTTGCTGTTATTTCAACAAAGCACTTCATAAACTATTAGAATCCCTTGTCCCCATGATCTTCTGCCATCTTTCCAGTCCTGCACAACACACTGCATTTACTTTCCTTGTCATCACTGAGTTTAATGTACCTGGGGAAAAATACACACTCATACTTTCCAGCACAGATCCATGCTGGCTGACACTTGCTGTATCCTTATGACCATTCTACTCACCTGGTCAACTCCCTAATGAATGCTCAGCAGCAGCTGTTCCAGACCTTTCCTATCATCAAACCCCAGCTCTGATCCTATCTCCTCTCTCCAGATTCCTTTGCCTTATCTTTTTTGAGAATACTGATAACTCCTCACACTCCATGTTCTTTCTCTCCCTTTCAAAGTTTCGTGATAGCCTCTCACTGCTGCTTTGCCCTTCTTTCTGCATTAGATCCATTTCCTTTACCAAGGCTAAACCACCCACTGGTGCTCTCGGTCACATTCCTTCTAGCCTTCTTAGGGAACTTAAGTGATCACTTGCTCCTCTTGATTCCTTCATTATTATTGCTCTCTGCTCTTTCTCAACTAAAATTATCCTCCTCTATAAAGAAAAAAATATAAATATTTCTTGGAACCCATTAGCAGCCTCTTCCCATCTTCTGTCCTCTTCCTTTCATTGCAAAACTTGCTGAAAGAGCTGCTTGAGAGCTCTGCCTCCACTTCTTCTGCAGCCATGCACTCTATTCCCTGAAACTGCCAGAATATACAAGGTAGCAGGCAAGAATATTCTGTCCTGCGGGGCAGCAGTGACTTCCAATCATCAAATCCTATAGCCCTTTCCTAGTCACCAGACCTCCTCCCTTTTGCAGTTCTCTCTGGTCTCAGCTTCTGAAGACTTAGCTCCCTTAGTTCTTGAAGGATTCCTTTCCCAATTCCTCTTCTTCTCCTTCCTTCTTAAGGGAAGTAAGCATTCCTCAATGCCTGTAGTCCTCTGTCCCCATATTTTCTCTCCCATGGTGATCTTTCACAATTTCAAGTGTACTCTGCAAGACAACTCCCAAATTTTTTATCCTTATTTCTGCTTCTGGACTTGCCAGTTTCCTGCTGGGTGCCTGTACTGGAATATTCTGCTACACCCCAATTCAACATATCCAAAGCCTCCTTTTGACTTCCCACAAAACCAGACTATCCCACATTCCCTCTTATTGCCACAACCATTCCTTCAGACTAAAATTCTGTATTTTTAAACTCCGCTCCCTGTCGATGTTCACAAACAATACCTTATCAAATCCTATAGCCCTAACATACTGCCATTCCTCACATGCTATTTTCCTTCAGTTGCCTCTCTCTTTAGGTGGTGGATACTTTTAGATGAACTATTGTGTTCACCTTCTCACTGATTCACTTTCCTCTAGGCCCTCCCCCACTCTACCCTATTCAAACACTGTCTCCAGATCAAGCCTCCTAAAGGACCATTCTGTTTCTACAAAACTGGGAGCAGGGGAGAAGAGAGTGCATGCCTGATTTCTCGTTCTGGTGTGCAAAGTTCTCCAGGAAGTGGCTCCAACCCACTTCCTCAATTTAATCTCGCATTATTCCCTTTCATAAAGGGAATTACGAGAAAGGTCTACAGCATCTACATCACGTAATTCGCTGTCCCTAGGACATAAAACATATATCCTTACATTCATGTCTGTGCTCTATTTCCACCATCTGAATACACTTCCCTTTTTAAAAATTCTACGTATCTTCCAAGATTAACCTTAAACAGGATCAGCCCTGCTACCTATAGCGTAGAAGTGAATATAGTTTTCTAATTGATAGACTTTGATTTCATGCTACCAAGCCACCTTCTGATTATGCCTTTTGTTTGTTTTGGTAAACATGCCACAGGGAAAGAACTTCAGGAGTCCTAGAACCATCACAATGAATTTTCAACATCTCAACTTTCTAGTTAATCCCTGAGGGAGAGAATAGGTGTGAGATTGCTGACGATAGTGGGAAGGCTCATGTAACTCATCTAGCCCATGTGATAACTGTATTTCTCATTGTAAGGAAATAGGAATTTTCCCTTAGAGACAGACAAGTTAGGTTAATGATGCGGTCATGTCAACAAATGCCAAATATATCAGAGCTCAGTATCAGAGCCAAGTTTCATAGCGATAAGAATACAAGTGGGCGAACCGAGTCATTACATGACCTTCAATGGCAGGAGTACTGAGTTCAAAATCATCTTTGCAATCACAGTCAACAATAATTGACAGGAATCACTGCATATTTATTACCATGTCTGGAGCTGTCTCTTCATTTTACATGTACTAACTTAATTAGTTTTTGTAATAATCCTATGACTTAGGAACTCCCATTTTACAGATGATAAAACCTGGAAGGTTATTCAACTTGTCCATGGGCATATAGAATGGAAGTAGCAAAGCCAGGATTCAAATAGCCTGGCTGTAAAACCTTCACTTTAAAACACCAAGCCATCGAAATTTACATTGTAAGCAAGGATTTTACTTCAGCAACATATCACTATCCATCATGTTAGTAATGTAAATTGAATTTTTACTGGTTGTGCAGTTTCATTTCTATCTAGTATGTTATACACTTTCAAAAGTTTAGAGATTTGTATAACAATATACGGTGTTTATAGTGTTTTTATTCATGTGCATATATTGAAGCAGCATTAAAATTTAGATAAAATTGAGTCAAGCGCCAAGTCGTTGACAAGACCTTTCTAGATAACTCTGCTAGATGTGACGGATTTAGTTCTTTGAATCTCCATATTATGTAACTATCGTAAAGCTCAAAGTGAACTCTACCCTGTATTATATCACTTTACATTCTACTGTAAATAACTTGGAAAGGCGGTATCACAAAACTCATTATAACCCCTGTAATATCTGAAGAGTACTTAGAACAACACTTGAGTGTAATAAATGTCACATGATTTCCTGAGGTTTGCTTGCAGACTGCACCCTGGAAAAGCCTGATTGACATATTCTCAACATTATACCAAGCTGAAAGGCCTGGACTCGGCCAGCAGCTTTGCCTGCCCAATGACTCAATGTGTAACCTTGGTCCTCACCTGAGCCTCCTTCTGCTCATGGGGAAGAAGGACATTGGTGGTATCAGGCAAAAGAAGGTACCATACAGGGCGTAAGCCAATTACCAATCGTGCCTTTCAACCCTCCTAGTTAGCCTAAAGGTATTCTAGTATAAAAGGACTGTAACTCTAATTACTTAAAAAAATATAAGACCCCAGACAAGAGGCCCTTGAGACAGTCAAGGGGAATTTCTTTTTTAAAGAACCATTTCTTATCCTTTGCCCAAGGTAAAAACAGCCCCATAAAACAAATTATGATTCTTTGTCTCTTGATAAGGTCACCTCTAATCCAAAGCCAAATTAGCTTTCCAATGTTTGCCTCCTCTAAGCATTTTTAGATTCTACCTCATACTGACTAGCCACCAAGTTCCATAGATTTTACCCTTAAATATATGTGGAATTCACTCTTTCACCTTCCATACTAATATAGAACAGGGGTTCTCAAAGTGTGACCCAGAACCAGCAGCATTAGCATTCACCGGGGAACTTAAAAGTTAAAAGCAATCCATGCTTTCACAAGCCCTCCAAGTGACTCCACGTGAGTCAATTCTAACCTAAACTGCCTGAACCAATCTTTAACTGGTCTCTACACCCAGCCTACTTACCCTATTTAATACAAATTCTGTGCATACACAGAATTTTC